GGTCTCCTTAATTGAGAAAGGATGTATTGGCACCGGAGGGGGTGCAAAGGAGGTTCACTAGGTTGATTCTGGAGTTGAGGGGGTTGGCTTGTGAGGAGAGACTGAGTAGATTGGGATTGTATTCATTGGAATTCAGAAGATTGGGGGGGGATCTTTATAGAAACATATAAAATTATGAAGGGAATAGATAAGATAGAAGTAGAGAGGATGTTTCCATTGGCAGGTGAAGTTAGGACAAGAGGGCATAGCCTCAAGATTAGAGGGAGCAGATTTAGGACTGAATTGAGAAGGAACTTCTTCACCCAGAGGGTTGTTAATCTGTAGAATTCCTTGCCCAGTGAAGTAGTTGACGTTACTTCAGTAACCGTTTTTTAAAGATAAGGTAGGTATTTTTTGAGCAATAAAGGAATTAAGGGATACGGTGAGAACGCGGGTAAGTCGATCTGAGTCCACGAAAAGATCAGCCGTGATCTTATTGAATGGTGGAGCAGGCTCAAAGGGCCAGATGGCCTACTCCTGCTCCTAGTTCTTATGTTCTTATGTTCTTCATGAGATGTGAAGGCCCAAGAATAAGTGATAAGGGGGTCTGTTCCTTTTTTGCATGCTTGGAATTTGACATGGATTTTAAGTAATTCATATGCTAGTGGAACACATCTGAAAGTGACAAGATCTGAACGATAACAGCCTATTTGATGCTTCAGGATAAAATACTGTTGAAAATCTGTGCCTTTATACGTGGCTAATTGTTAGTGAAGAGAATCTAATGGCTTGTATTATAACCAGAGACTGAGTACAGTAGTGTTTTTGAAGACTTGATATCTTGATCATATGCTTTACCTGCCTGCTACCCATGATTTAATAACTGACGATTTCAGTTAATCTGAAAGACAAGGTTGTGGGTACTAAGGTGTGCTAACAATTGACTGTACAATTGCACCTTTTTGCATAAGTGAGGTGAGGTTCACATAGTGTGGTGAATCCTGCCAAATGTGAATTTAGTAAAAGAGTGGAAATTCAGGTGTCAAAAGGGAAATTTCACAACTTGAATGCAAAACTATATTTATTGATTTTTTTTTTTTAAACTGCTTGCCAAGAAACCCTGATTTGGTGGTGCTCAGTGGCATCAGCTGTTGACTTTTTTTAAACTTTTTCTATGTGCATTTGCATAGAAAGAGCCAGAATCCTGGAGCTGCAATTTAAATGTAGGTGTGTTAACTGTGTGGTAAGTGTAGTTTATCACCCCACCCCCTACCCCAAGTTTTATTTCCCCTTTGTCAGGGTGAGTCGTGAAGGAGCTTTATAAAGCAGCCCCAGGGATGTTCGTACTTTGACATTGATATCATGTCATTTGGAGTAGGTTGAAGGTGTCAGATTGACAACAAGGAAGTCAGCTTTCATTCCAATTACATCTATCTACAAAAGTAGACTTACCTGAACTTGGCTGAGGACCAATGCCAAACATCAAATCGGTTGTGAACAAATTGTGTTCAGAAAAGTCTATAAAAGCAGGGCTGTACTTCTGAGGCTCTCTAAGGCTCTGGTCAGGCCGCATTTGGAGTATTGTGAGCAATTTTGGGCCCCATACCTCAGGAAGGATGTCCTGATCCTGGAGTGGGTCCAGAGGAGGTTCACGAGAATGATCCCAGGAATGGAAAGCTTAACATATGAGGAACGTTTGAGGACCCTGGGTCTATACTCAATGGAGTTTAGAAGGATATGAGTGTATCTAATTGAAACTTACAGAATACTGAATGGCCTGGACAGAGTGGATGTTGGGAAGATCCTTCTTTTGGTAGGAGAGTCTAGGACCCGAGGGCACAGCCTTCGAGTAAAGGGAAGACCCTTTTAGAACAGAGCTAAGGAGAAACTTCTTGGGCCAGAGTGGTGAATCTATGGAATTCACTGCCAAAGAAGGCTGTGGAGGCCAGATCATTGAGTACATTTAAAACTGAGATAGGTTCTTGATTTATCAAGGGGATCTAGGGTTACGGGGAGTAAGTGGGAGAATAGGGTTGGGAAACTTAACAGCCACAATTGAATGGTGGAGCAGACTCACTAGGCCATTCAGCCCAATTTCTGCTCCTATGTCTTGCGGTTTTCCAAGGTACTGCCATTATATGTCAGTCTTTTGAGTCCTGAATGTTATACACTTTTTCACGGACAGTCACCAGTGGCACTGCAGTACTTAAATGTGCAAGTCAGAAGACTCACATTGTGGTCAGTGGAGCGTAAAACCTCATCAAGTTTTAGGGCTTTTACAAATTGCTAATAGTGGTAGAAATGAGAAAATTGAAAAGCCTTCACGGCCCAAATTTAACGTTACTATTTGCAAACAAACTAGAATAAATAAAACATGTTTGCCCTTTATGCGTATTTTATTTGTACTCTTGGTTCATTTGCTGATCCTTCCAAGGTATTATCCCTCTATTTCAATATCGATACCCCCTGCCATGCCACTGTCTGTTGATTATAGGGTATTCAGGTCAATGTTGAGCTGCCAATCCTGCCCACTTTCAGCGAAGTCTCATTTAAGGGCACATGATAGCACTGCTATTTATCCCTTAGCCGGTCTCTCATTCTTCAGACTCCTTGCATTAAAATATGTTCCCTTTAGCCTTGCTAAGCTCACTTCATTGTTAATTGACCTTTTGTTTCCTCTGCCTTCCAGACCTGAATTTGAGACGTTCAGATTTATGAATTAAAACGTATCTTGGCCTCTGTTCCCTCTAGTTCTCCTAGTCAGGATCCCACCCCCTGCCAATCTAGTTTGTCTGCCTGAACAGCATTAGCAAACGCCCCTGCGAGGATGTTAATTGTGTTTCTGTTCAGACGTAACCTGTCCAACTTGTACAAGTCCCATGTCTCCCAGAAACTGTCCAGTGTCTCGGGAATCTAAAGTCCTTCCTCCTGCGCTATTTCTTCAGACACGCATCATCTGCTCTGTCCTACTGTTACTAAATTCACTACTGCAAGGCACCAGGGGTGATTTGGCAATTACTTCCTTTCAAGTCCTGCTTTTCAATTTCCTACCCAACTTCGTAAAGCCTGCTTGTAGCACCTCAGTTCTCTGTGTGTGTCACTGATCTCAACTTGGATCATTACCTCTTCCTCATTATTCAGAATTCCTTGTAGTCATTCTGTGACATGCTTGACTCTGACACTTTGGGAGGCAATACACCGATAGTCAGGTAAAGGCACGAAAGTGCCTGTCTGTTCCCCTCACCAATTATATTGCTCTTCTCACATTGCAGCTGGACTGCCAACCGTGCCACAGCCTTGGCTCTTGCTGGTTTTCACAGAGAAGCCAACATTTTCACCACGTTCCATGACCAAAAACTTTTGGGTTGAGGTGGGATTTCCTCATTATCTGCCTAGATTTCCCCCCTCACCATCCTCCTATCTGGCAGTTGCCCATTCCATCACTTCTTGCATTTCCTTAAGCTGCGGGGTGGCAATGTCCTGAAATCTGCTATATACATGCTCTTTGCTACACTAATGCATTGTCGTGCCCCCTGCTGCTGATCCAGATCCAGAACCCAGACCTCAAGTTTTTCCATCCGGAAGTACCTCCTGTACACGTGATCACCTAGGTTGTCAATAGTGTCCAGGAATTCCTTGTACATGTGGTCATTGAGACTGCCAAGAGCACCCCTGGTTTCCCATGTACTGAAGTATGTCCAAATCACAGGCCTGAGCTTCCCAGACACATCTGAACTAAACAGAATGTGATTGTTTGCTTAGTCCTCAAGCATAGACTTGAAAAATGTTATTCTTAATGTCAAATAGTCCCTTAATGTCATCAAGCAACGCAGATGTGTTATCTTTGTAAAGCTTTAAAGCTGGACTTAGCACCTTAAGTAAATCAATATCTAGTCACAGGAAGCAAGAGAAATACCTACCTGCTGTCCTGTGATGTCGCATTTCACTATTCTTCAAATTGTTCCTTTGCTGGTCTTCCTGCTTCTGGGTCTTCTCCACTCTTGCTGCTCCTTTTTGATGCTGCCACTGCTTCCTCCATTCCGTGCAGGTCCGATGCCAGTCTGTCTGCTTCTGTCTCAACTCTCCTGTCCTATCAATGATGCTGCCTGTTACTTCCCAATCCAGGACTTGTGCAACAAAGTCAAATGCTCTAATATTGAGGGAGTGCTGTACTGCGAGAGGTGTATCTGAGTTCCTTCTGCTCCAAAGACCAAGGATTAATCTTTAACGGGCAGAGGAATTCTCCCCAAATGTCCTGGTCAATATTTAGTACTCAATTGCCATGAGAAAATGTGGTCCGGTCATGTTCGTATTGCTTTGTATGAGAGTTTGTATACAAATGGCTGCTGTTTTCTCCTACTTTACAACAGAGACCTAGGGGTGCAGGCGTATAGTTCCTTTAAAAGTGGAGTTGCAGATAGACAGGGTGAAAACTTGTTGCTGGGATTGGAGGGTTTGAACAATAGAGGCTGAATAGGCTGGGGCTATTTTCACTGGAGTGCTGGAGGCTGAGGAAGACCTTTAGAGTCTAGATAATCATGAGGGGCATTGATAGAGTGAATGGCCAGGTCTTTTTCCAGAGTAGGGGAGTGCAAAACTAGGGGACATAGGTTTAAAGTAAGAGGGGAAAGATGATTTAAAAGGTAACTAAGGGGCAACTTTTTCATGCAGAGGGTGGTGCGTGTATGGAACGAGGTGGTAGAGGTTGGTACAATCACAACATCTAAAAAGGCCTCTGAATGGGTACATGAATAGGAAGGGCTTGGTGAGATATGGGCCAAATGCTGATAAATGGACTAGGTCAGTTGAGGATATCTGGTGGGCATGGACGAGTTAGACCAAAGGGTCTGTTTCAAGCTGTATGCCTCAATGATTAGACTTCCATGGTACTTACTGACTTAAGATTTGAGGTGGTTGGTCCTGTAATTGTAAAATCTGCTGTCAAAATGTAAGCCTTTTTCCTTTCCAGTTTCTACTGCACAGTTACCACAGGTTTTTATTTTGTTTGTGTTGCAGAATCCAACATGGAGGAGTTTAGACTTTGGCTTGATGCCAAACCGCCTTGATACTTCTGTGTCATGTTTCATAGTCAGGATTTGGGGTGGAAAGAAGGGACAGTATCGTCTCGTCATTGAGTGGAAAGTCAATCTTGATGGACTCAAATACCTGGGACAGCAGGTAAAATATACATCTTCTATTGACTGAGAATAAATGAATCCAGGTTACTGTAACAACTTGTGGAAATTGAAGGTATTTTGTTTCATTGTTTTCTCATGCCACTTCTAAATTGCATGAACCTGTCTAGCCTTCATTAGAATAACGAGTTGATGTGTTTTCGGAGCAAATTTTGTTTCTAAATTTCATTCAATGCATTAACTAACTGTTTGTCACTCCAGATCCTGTCACAGCATTTCTAGAACTTTAGTTGTTAGAAATCTGAAATAAAAATGAAACTTTGCTTTCATCTAGCTTTCCATAGTGTCCTCCTAATGCTTATTCTTCAACTAAAATCACAAAAATGCATACCTACTTAGTGATGAGTGTGGGAGATTGCTCTGTGCAAAAGGTTTCCAACATTTACAACAGTGATTTACACATTTTAAAAAAAAAAAAACCCTTATTTCTAAAATGCTTCATGTCCTGAGGTCATGAAATGTTATTTAAGTATAAGCTCAATCTTTTCTATTGTTGGCAGACCTACCACTTTGAATTTCACTTGGGTGTCAGATTTGGCTAAGGAAATAAAAATACTTCAGTCTGAAAAAGCTGTTATTGCATAGATTGGTAAGCAGCTCAGGGAAAATCATTAAGTGTCATTGTTTCTGTTATAAACCATACTCCAAAAACATGTAAAACTAACCTGTTGGTAACTAATGGGGAACTTCTCATTCTGTCGAACTTTTAGAACATAAAAACATAAGAAATAGGAGCAAGCGTAGGCCATCTGGCCCATTGAGCCGTTCAGTAAGATTGTGGCTGATCTTTTCTCGTGGACTCAGCTGCACTTGCCTGCCCACTCACCATCACCCTTAATTTCTTTACTGTTCAAAAATCTGTCTTTTAAGACGTTCAACAAGGTAAAGTCATACTGAAATATACAGGATATTGAGGTTAGCAACAGGCTGCTGTAATTTGCAAGGGGAAGGTTGTGGGTGTAAAGTAAAAGTTAAAATTGAGGTGTTGTAAGATAATCTGAATATATTTTTATCTTAACATTAAAAGCATTGGGGTGCTCTCAATTGGAGTGATGAGCAGCTAATCTAATTTTGATGGTCAACAGTTTGACAAGTGATGGAAACATGTAGTGTTTTACAGAGAAATTGATTAACCTTGGCAATGAAATATATTGTGGAAAGACCGCAGGATTGGACACAAGAATAAAGGTGAAAGTACAAAAAATTTAAAGTGGATCTAGTCACAAAACCTGGACAAGTGGTTCAGCATGAGCAGGAACGAAGAACTTTTAGTCGAGGATTACAAGGAATTGTAATGCATTCGTCTTAGTGAAATCTGACATCTCTAAAATGCTGAAGACCAGTCAATGGGATAAATGAAAGGGAGACAAAAATGTATAATTTGAGGTGCAGTTATGTTCTCGAAATTTCAACATGTTTGCTTTTAATTTTTGCACTCATTTTCCTTCAGGAATCGGAACTGCAGTTCCAAAGCAGCAGCGTGTGGACTTGAAATGTTAACTCTGCTTCCCTCCCCACACATGCTGCTGAATTTCTCCAGCACTTGTTTTCATTATTGCCCTATTTATTGTTGTACTTGTCTGAGTAGTTACTTAGAATAGTATACAAAAAATAAAAACGTGAGATTTAGGAAATCTGCCATTCTGTCCTCACTAGGTTTCCATGTCTCCAGATCCACAACAGTGGGTTCGGCTCATACCTGCCTCTGCAATGGCTGACCAAGCAACTTGGTTCAAGGGCGTGGCAACAAATACTGGCCTTGCCAGTGATGCCCACATCTCATGAGTAAAGAAAAAAATTACTTTGTTAACTTTGCCGTAACTCTTATCTTAAAGTCTCGATTTTGTTTTAGATTCGTGCATGTAATCCCAATGAGGTAATATTTGGATTGAATGATGGCTACTATGGAACACCTTTTGATCACAAGGTAAAGCTTTCGACCCATGTTCATGTCACTGTTATTGTAGCTGCTGACAATATAAATCCTTCTAAAAGACTGATAATTTGCGAAATAAGTTCCCAGAGAAAGCTGCTCAAGGGAGTATAACTGGGCTCCAGACTGTTTGCCTTTCCAGGGACAACTGATTGATGTTGTGAACTGTAAATAGCTCAGGTTGCTGCATCAAAAGACAATTGGCTAGTTTGAATCTAGAGCTTTTTCTATTCTTAATAACGTTTCAGTCCACGGAAGAGGTGTCATAGTGACTAATTGGTGCCTGTTGCATTGATGGTTAAATTGTTTTCGACATTTTGAAATTTGTGTTCTGTGCAATGGTCTAAATTTGGTGCTGTGCCTTGTTTTGAAGCGTAAGAAGTTTGAAAACCTGCAGCTTACAGTAGTAACAGTTCTCAAGTCAATGTAAATTCGCAAAGTTAGTAATAGACTGATGTGCTGATACCTGCTATGTGTTTATCCGATATTTGATGCAATGGGACAAGTTGGGAGCTCTTGGCTTTTATTCCCAACTGGGTCAAAATCCTGAATCTCCCTCCCTAATTATTTGTGAGCATACCTATACATCAAAGACTATAGTGGTTCAGAAAAGTAACTCACCATCCCCTTCTCAAAAGCAGTTAGAGATGGTCTATAAGTGGTGATTGGACAAATAATACCCACATCTCATGAATGAATGACTGAGGTGGAATTTCTTCTGAGTGTGGTAAATCTGAGAAATTCTTTCCTACAAGAGGGCAGATGAGGCTGCGTCATGTAAGTATATTCAAGGCTGAGATATTTTTAATCAATAAAGAAATCTTGGAGTGTTGGAGTTGAGGATTATCAGGTCAATCACTATCTCATTGAATTTGTTCTGCCATTTAATGTGCCAAATGGCCTACATTTTACAGAATAAAAGCAAAGTGTGTGGAACCAGATGATGAGGCCACTTAGCCAGCTCAATGCGCTCTGATCTGTTTAATTCTCAAGTTGCTTTTTTGGAGAGGCCAAACACGTAGGAACAGGTGTAGGCGCTTCTGTTCGTTGAACCCCTGGTTGGGCCTCATTGAGACCATGGTTGAACTCTGGCATAACTCCATATATGTTCCTTTGGCACTTATCTTTTTAATGCCTTTCTTAACACGAATTTTTATCTCAGATTTTAATTAACAACTGATCCAGCATCCACTGTGGAAGAGAGTTCCAAACTTCTTCTACCCTTTGTGTATAGAAATGCTTCCTAACATCTCTCCTGAACAGTCTAGCCCTAATTTTCAGACAAATTCCCTAGTTCCAGAATGCCCAGCCAGTTGAAATTGTTTATCTTTTTCTTTTTCTTTTCCTGTTACTATCTTGAAGACTCAGATCAGATCACCCCTTAACCTTCTAGATTCTAGAGAAAGCAGGCCTAATTTTTATACTACAATAAGTGAAAGAACTGTGGATGCTGTAAATCAGGAACAAACACAAGTTGCTGAAAAAGCTCAGCAGGTCTGGCAGCATCTGTGAAGAAAAAAATCAGCTAATGTTTTGGGTTGAGTGACCCTTCTTCAGAACTGATGGTAGCTGGGAAAACGTAGGCTTGTATTGCAGAAAATAGGGAGGGGAATGGGGAAGGGAGTAAACAATAGATAGAGCCAGAAGAGAAAGAAGAGCAGTTGGATAGACAAAGGATTTGATAACGATCTGGCTAGGAGGGTGAGTAGTTGTTAATGGGGACTGTTGGTGACTAACAATAGGTAGTGTGTAATGGCAAACTGTGATTAGGCCTGAAGTGTGGGCGTAGGGGGCTAGGATATGGGAGAATTTAGGCCCTGAAATTATTGAACTCTGTGTTGAGTCTGGAGTGCCGCAGGGTCCCCAAGTGGAAAATGAATTGTTGTTCTTCCAGCTCGAGTTGAGCTTTGCTGAAACACTGCAACAAGCCAGAGACCACCGGATGTTGCTCAGGGAACAGGGTGGTGTGCTAAAGTGGCAAAATTTGTATATTTGCATACACTGAAGTCTGAGCATCATTCTTGCAAACCTACTGTGGACTCTATCCAAGGCCAGTGTATTCTTCCTAAGGTGTGGTGCCCAGATCTGCTGTCAGCACTCCAAGTGGACTCTAACCAGGGTTTTGTATAGCTGCAGTATAATCTGTGCATCCTTTCACCCAGTCCTCTAGGTATAAAGGCCAGCATTCCACCAGTTTTTTTTGATTATTTTCTGCACCTGTTGATGACATTTTAAAGATCTACGCGCCTGCATCTCCAAGTCTGTTTTGGATATCCACTGTATTTAACTTAATACCATCTAGAAAGTACCCCGATAAGTTCTTGTCCAATCCAAAATGGATAATCTCACACTTGCTTCCCTTGAACTCCATCTGCCAGTTTTGCCCATTCACCTATTCTGTCAATATCCCTTTATAATTTTGTGCTGTCATTGACACTGTCTACAATGTTGCCTAACTTTGTGCCATCAGCAAATTTGATTATGTCACACTCTCAGCCATTATCCAAATTGTTAATGTATAATGTGAATAACATGCATCCTGATGGGACACCATTGGTCATATCCTGCCAATTTGAATACATACCCATTATCCCTACTTTCTGTTGCCTCCCACTCAACCAATTTCTCAGCCATAATAGTCATTTGCCTTCAGTTCTGTGGGCTGCTACCTGAGTTAACAATTTTTTTTATGTGGGACTTCAGATGTCTTTTAGAAGTCTGCATAAGCAGCAAGGTATAGGGGCGAGAAACAATATAGTTTCTAGTTTGTCCAATGCAGCTGCATATCTCTGTATTAGAAGACACCATCCTAATTTACAAACAGTGCACTAAGTTGACTGTTTCTTTTGGTTTGTGCAGAACTCTGAGGCACTGAAAGATATGGCTCAAGTTTGCAAATGGTTTAAATGTTATAAGTTATTAGCTTCAGCTGTAGATTTACTACAAGTTTCCAGACAACGTTTCTTGAAATATCTCCTTTGACAGAGTCTACTTCTGAAGTGGATGCCCAAGGGGCAAATACAGTCAACAAGATTATTCCTTTAGATGCAGCCTCATAATTTAGGTTTGAAGCAATAAAATATATTCATTCTAGTGTAGTTTGCACTTTAAACCACATGTGTGCGCTGTTGCAGTTTTCTGAATACTTAAATTGGAGTTGTGGTGTCTCTAAACTGAAACCAAGTCAAAAATGAAATCTTTTAGTTCAAAATCTAATTTGAGTCCTGACAGTGACCATACCTCTTGTCTTTACTCAGGACCTCACTGAAAAGAAGAGGACCAACCTTCTACAAGTGGACCAGAGTTCAGTAAGGAGCTCATACAGTGTCTTTTCCCTTCTCAGGTAAGGCATGCATTGAGATATTAATCTTTTTCAAACTTAGATTTGATGAGATACAAGGTTACATGGGTGCCATCAATTTGAATTTCATTGTTTAAATATTAGGTTGAGGTATTTGTAAAATGATGTATTTTAGTTTATTCTAAACAGTTTTTGATGGGCCAGCCCAATGTACAGTCAGGAAAGAGCTGAGACTTGTTGATCAGGAAATAATTAACTTGATTCCTGAATTAGAATATTTAGTATTGATGATTTGCTGATGTCACCTGAGGTGTTGCACTTCATGTCACGCTGTAGGCCAGACAGGGAATGTGAGTGTGGTGCAGTGGGAAAGGGCATTGAAGGTTTCACACACAGTGACACGTAGGTTAAATGCAGAATTGAATGCTTCTGTGATTATCGCACTGATCTGGTCCACCTGTAGAAGGTTGCTCCTTTTCTTTTCAGTAAGGTCCCGAGTTTTTAAAAAAACATAAAGCAATAGATCTGGTCACTGTCAGGGCTCAAATTAACCACTTGCTCTCTGCACTTGCTTGGATGGGTGGAGCTCGAACAACTGCAGGAGGCTCAATGCCATCTTGGACAAAGCAGCCCATATGTCTAACATCTATCCACCACCTTCATTGTCAACTACTGTCGCACCATCTGCAACAAATCACTGAGGTTTCTTTAACAGCTCTGTCCAAATATGACCTCTACCATCTAGAAGGACAAAGGCAGCAGGTACATGGGAACACAGCTACCTGCATGTTCCCCTCAAGTCGTGCACAATCCAAATTTAGAACTATTTTAGAAGAATTTTAACATAAGAACTAGGAGCCCCTCGAGTCACTTCCTGCTATTTGGTACGATCATGGCTGATCTCGTCTCGGACTCAACCCACTTTCCTGCCCACTGTCCATAACCTTCAACCCATTAATAATTAAAGATCTGTCTATCCCAAATTCACTCAACTCCATGCCCCAGTATCCACTGTACTCTGGGGGAGTGAATTCCATAGATACACAACCCTTTGACAGAAGTAATTCTTCCTCGGCTAGTAGGAACTGCCGATGCTGGAGAATCTGAGATAACAAAGTGTAGGGCTGGATGAACACAAGCCAAGCAGCATCAGAGGAGCAGGAAAGCTGATGTTTTAGGTCGAGACCCTTCTTCAGAAATAGAATTCTTCCTCATCTGTTTTAAATCAGCTCTCCCTTATCCTAAAACTATGACCTCTTGTTCTAGATTGCCCCACTTGAAGAAAAATCTTTTTTATATCTATTTTATCAAACCCCTTTAGCATCTTAGATATCTCAATGAAATCTCCTTCTTTCCCTTTCTTTTGTTCTTGTCCTTGATTCCCCTTCCTCCAACTTCCATCCTCCTACCATATTGGTATTTGTAAATGTAGTAAATTTGTAAATTAACAGCTATTTTAGATAAATGAGTACACCTGACCAGGAACTGAAACTTGTTTTGCTCAGTACTGCTCTTTGGCACTTTAGCTTCTAGCAAACCTTTTGAACAAGGTCAGAGATGCCAGATTTGAATGTCAAGTTAAATAGTTCAGACACAAGGTTCGTGTGTCTCTTTTTTCCTCGACCCAATCAAGAATGGGTGTGAAAAAGTTGCTTTTTGTAAGAATTCTCCCCCTCCCCCC